TTAAATTTTTTGCATATTTGTCACACTTAAAAGATTCAGATCATCAAACAAATTTTAATATTACACAAAGATAGCCTGAGTAAATACAAACTGCAGTTTTGAAATTATGATTTCATTCATTAAGGGGAAAAAAGCTGTCCAGACCTGCCTGGCACTACGTGAAAAAGTAATTGCCCCCTAAATCTAATAACGTAAATTTGAAATTAGACTAATACATTTGTTTTGAAATCTAACTGCTCATCTAAGTATTCTTCATGTCACATTAAAATGTGGCACACTATTGTTTAAATGTTTGTGGTCAGTAAGTTTAAGTTTTAAGAACTCTCTTATGCTCAACAAGGGCAGATTGTTTTAGCAACAACTTAGAAGTTTTGTTTGCTTTTGCAGGTGGCAGAGATCGGCCACCTGGATGAGGAAATAATGGCTTTGCACTCAGAAATTGTTGAGCTTCAGAGAAGTCCTTATGCTCGTCGACAAGGAGATGTCATGGAGCAACTGTAAGTTCATTCTTTCAGCGATACTGTCTGAACTTTCTCCGCAGAGATGCCCCTTAAACCTTCTGTATTGAAATCATGTCTCATCACAGGCAAGACCGAGCAATTGAACTCTACAGACAATTGAAGGCAAAATGCAAAAGTAAGTACAATCCCATCTTGCGTGCTCATTCGCCCCAAGTCTCATTCCAAGTACTTGGGTTATTTATCTGTGTAGGCAAAATTTCCTTACATATTCTTACTGTTATATACGTTTTTGGGGTCAGGATATAGTGTTCTTCATTTCCCTTAGTGCCAGACCCCCAGCACGGCTACAGTGACAGCTCTGAGATGGTGAAGGTCATTGTACAGACTGTCCAGAATCAGGACCGGGTACTGAGGGATCTATATGCACACCTCAGGTAAAAAGCTTTTGAAACCATCCAGTTCACAATCAAAGAGGATTGTGATGGCTCAAACTGCGGCTAGTTAACAAATGAATGCTGCTGTTGCATTTTATGGATGAAATCCAGCATTGCTGTTGTCTTATTTGCAGTAAAATCCTTCTGAGTAAGCAGAAGATCATCGACCTCTTCCCTAAAATTGAGAGGACACTGGAGAGCATTAAGGAGGCAGACAGCACTGTCATGCAGATGCAGATCAAGAGACAGAGAGAGTTCTGGCATTTACTGAAGATTGCCTGTGTGAGTCACATGCTTCTAATGTCTCAGGGCCAGATATGCACATAATCATGGACTTTCCATCGTAATGGTTTAGTGTGTATTAGCGGTGGGCGTGATGGCCATTATCTGATCATTCCATCTATTTGGAACTTGATAGACATAAACCAAAAGGCAAATAGACAGAAACTACTGCTCAAAAAAAGTCAGTCTTTTTAAGAAATTCATACTTTTATTTAGCAAGGATGCATAAAGTTGATCAAAGGTGGCAGACTTTTACATAGTTACAAAAGATTCCTGTTTCAAAATAAATGCTGTTCTATTGAACTTTCTATTTATCGAAGAATCCAGAATAAATGTATTATGATTTTCACAAAAATATAAAGAAGCACAGCTGTTTTCAACATTCATAATAATAAAAAGAATTTTTTCTTGAGCACCAAGATATCAGCATATTACAATGATTTCTGAAGGATTATCTGACACTGAAGACTGGAGTAATGACTGCTGAAAATTCAGCTTCGCCATCACAGGAATAAATTACATTTTCAAATATATCAAAATAGAAAGCTGTCAAAATATTTGACAATAATTTGTTTTACTGTGTTTTTGATCAAATAAATGCAGCCTTGGTGAACATTTGAGCAGAGATTTTACCTAAAATATTTTAACCCTAATCTTTTGATCGATAGTGTAAAATTATTCAAAACAAATCAGTGATACATCGGCATTACTGTAAAAACGGTTGGAAATTTAGCAAGTTGAAAACTCGAAGCAAAACTAATACTGTCAAATGAATACTTCTGACTTTAAATTCTAATTGGTTGATCTACATTCAAAGCATTTCTAAAATGTCTGTGTGTGTAAGGCTTTTTTTTCTTTTTTTAGTTTAACCAACAATTGTGATTGAATGTGTTTGTGTTTAGGCACAAAACAGCACACGAAGCTCTGTGAGTCAGAGTGGAGAGATGCCCTCCTCGCTGTCAACATGGAACCAGACTCAAGCCCAGTGCTCCTCTCGCCTGCCCATGTCCCTGCAAGTGCCACACGAGGGGTAAATTTCTCTTCCAAGCCTAGCCAAGATACTAACACCACCTCATAGGTTTCAAGTTGAGTTGATCAGCGTATGTGATCACGAGTGTTTGTTTTCAGAGATTCAGTCAATCATTTACTTGAGGAGAATCAGCGCTATTTGAGTCAGCTTACCAGTTTACTGCAAGAAACCACTGAGGAGAAATCAGAGAGCATCATGGTAAGTGCTTTTTGTAGGTTTATTATGAAATTCATAGAAATTCTGTATATGATCATGACTGCACATATTTGCTGCTGTAACACTCACTGCTTTTTTCTTTCACACAGGCTCAAGACTGGAGCTGGACTAAATACGAAACCCTGGTTGCTAAATCACAACGTTTGTAGAGTCATGGTGAACTCTGTGACAGGAAGTAACAAGTCATTCTTTTAAATACATTTATTCATCATCACTGGATCGGGGTTGTGTTGACTTGTATGATTTGTTAATCATAGAGTAACTTCTTTGTCAGTATCTGAATTCATTTAAAATCACATTTTGCAGTCTTGTAGCAACTCTATATATATTTTGAGGATGCATTTTTAATTAATACAGAACCAAGAACATGCAAACAAAATTCAGGCAATGTAACAATGTAACTCCAGAAATGTATTTATTTACATACTTCATAGTTCTCTGTATGGGCTGATTTTACTTTCATTTTAGGTGGTTGAGTTTTTATTATTATTATTTTTTTCTTATGTGGTAGTTCCGCATCTGCACTTTAAAGGCTCACTGTGAATGTTTGGAAGGGTGTGAGGTCTGGCAATGAAATTGGTCATGTTCAAATAATGCACTTCAGCTTCACTTTTTGAAATCTTAAGAATTCTGTGAGGCCCCAAGTAAAGGTTTACAACAGACAGATTGAAAGGCATGGCTCTTTAGTCACAGGTCCCATGAAAATGTGTTTGGTCAGACATATACCAGCAGTCTTTTTTTTATAGTTTGGATTTGGCAGTGATGGCAACAGAAATCTTCATATCAGGTATTAGCGGCTAAGAATGAATGAGATCATTCATCAGTGGGCAAATTATAATCAATAATTTTAATCAAAACGGTCATGTTATTCCCTTTTTACGTCACATTTTCAACCATGTTTTTGTCCAAAGATGATCAGCGTCACACAAGAGAGTTCATCACAAAATATTGTATAAGATTTTGCATAATATTATATTTTGTTTGTTTTGTTGGATTATTATCTGAGGATATTTCAGACATGGGTTAAAAGCATCTTATGAAAGAACACTTAGGTTTTAATGTGTTTACTGTATACATGACAAATAAAGTGATATCCATTATGCTATCTGTGTGGTGTAAAAATACTTTCTTCTAACTGCAGTAATCAACTGGAGCTTGTTACTGATAATTCATTCACAACTATGAAGAAAATGTTTTGTAAAATGTTACAATTTGTCTATTTTAGGATCCACAATTTTTCTCAAAAGATCTCACACAGCACAGAATTGTGACATCATTTTCATGTCCTGAAGCAAGTGGCAGTGCAAGACAAGTGTGAAAATATTGCCTGCAGTGTTATGATTAAACCAACCACAAATCGGTATGCAAATACAGGGGGAAAAGCCATTCATTATGCATAGGTGCCATTGCCAAGAAGAATGCCAAGTCACTACACCTCTGTAGAAGGGAATGCTCACATTTAAAAATGTAAATGTTACATAAATTTGAAATTACAAAATTTAACCTAAAATGCTTTGCACACTTAAATGATCATCATAAAGTTTACATTTAGTCGAGAAGAAGAGATAATATGAAGTGTAAGGTCTTTCATTACAGTGATCGCTGAGCTTTGAATTACATTTCACTGCGTATAGTGGTTGTATGTTTACTGGGGACTTTTATTTTGAAATAAAGAAGTGTTTGAGGTTTAATCATTGGATCACTAGACACAAAGACATGCCGCCAGTGTTGCCAATTTAGCAATTTTGTTGCTAAATTTAGCAACTTTTCAGACTACCCTAGCAACTTTTTCTTCCAAAAGCACCTAGCAACAAATTTAGCAATTTTAAACATTTATTTAGCAACTTTTGATAAGGACTCAGACAATAAAAAGGGACACATTTTCATTCAAATTACACAAAAAGAGGAAACCACAGATGCCTAACAGTACACACATCACGAGAATTGAGTTAGCTGCTATTTGCAATTGTTCAATTTAATAATAATAATAATAATTGAATAATTTGATAATTGAATAATTGTTCATTTATGATAAACTTTGTTAGTAGCTTGTACCTGCGATTGTTGATCAGTTAGTACACTGTAAGAAAAAT